GTTGGTTTCTTATCTGAAATAATTTCCTAAAAGGAAATCTATTCTAAAATTAAGGTATCTAGGCTCAGCACCTGTAGCACAGTGGTTATGGCGCCAGCCACATACACTGAGGGTGGTGGGTTCGAACCCGACCTGGACCAGCTAAATAATAATGACAAGTGCAACAAAAAATAGCCAGGCATTGTGGTAGGCACCTGTAGTGCAAGCTACTTGGGAGGCTGAGGCAAGAGAATTGCTTAAGCCCAAGAGTGTGAGGTTGCTGGTGAGCTGTGATGCCACAGCACTCTACCAAGGGTGACACAGTGAGACTCTGTCTCAAATGAATAAATAAAAAAAAATAAAACTGAGGTATCTCTATGTTGCTTTTATGCAAAATAATTTAGCCTGATATCTATCAAGTTCAGGTGGAACTTAAAACAAGTGAGCCTCAAATCCTGCACACATATACTGACCTGAGCAACTCACAGCTGTGTAAATACCATCAAAACCATTTACCGGTATGTCTTAGCAAATTCTAAAATAATCGTAATTTCTGGGTAATAAAAATAGGTTATTAAATTTTGGGGTCATAAATTCATTGATTATTTATTATTTGTTTAGATTTTGATAAAGTTCTAACTGAAAGACGTGTTTAAAATAAGTAAACTTTATTAAATGATATCAAAAAACTTCACAGTACTTTATGGAATCATTTTATTTATTTGTTTGCTTTTTTTGAGACAGTCTTACTCTGTCACCCTGAGTGCCATGGTGTCATCATAGCTTACAGCAGGGGTCCTCAAACTTTTTAAACAGGAGGCCAGTTCACTGTCCCTCAGATTGTTGGGGGCTGGACTGCGGGCCCGGGGACAAGTTGGCTGCTAAGCAGGACAGGCATCGGCGGCAAAAACACCTGGTGGGCCGGATAAATGTCCTAGGTGGGCCACATGTGGCCTGCGGGCTGTAGTTTGAGGACACCTGGCAGCAAACTCAAACTCTTGGGCTTGAGCAAGCCTCTTGCCTGTCTCCCATGTAGCTGGGACTATAGGCACCCTCCACTGCGCCAGCCACAACCCCTAGCTAGTTTTTTTTTTTCTCTACTTTTAGTAGAGATGAGTAAGGTCTTGCTCTTGCTCAGGCTGGTCTCTAACTCCTGAGCTCAAGCAATCCATCTGCCTTGGCCTCCCACATTGTTGGGATTACAGGTGTGAGCCACTGCATCTGGCCTAGGAATAATTTTAATAGAATCATCTTCATCTTCGTGGGATCAAAATTATCTATTTCCAAGTGATTTAGTTTTTTTTTTTTATTAGTCTTAACTTATAAACACACTTATTTTGCTAGAAATTCAATAGAACTACAGTCCTACAATTAGGTTTCCCATTCCTATTAGACTAAAGGAGAACATATATACTTACCAAAAATGGTATTTAACAAACAACATACCATGCTTATTAAAATCAGAGGTATTTTCTAGTCAGTGCTATTTTAAAGGTGTATCTTGAGAAAGTGGATGTCACACTGACATCTGAATGCCTTTTTTGCTGTAGACAGACTCTTTGGACAATAGTTACCTTGTTCCCTTGTAAGAACAATGTTGAGCCTCAGGGCAGGTTTGGCTTCCTGTATCTCACTGTTGTCATTCAGAATGGATGGCAAGCTGCAAGATGATTCATTACTGAGAACAGTGGACCTATCTTCACGTTCTTCTGTAAGGGCTTTTTTCAAAAGCGCCTACAGTGTTTCAAAAAGAATACAGGAAATAAAAACAAACTGTAGTCATATTCCCCTTGGTCACAAAAATCCTGCCTTCAAATATAATTTTAAGGTAAGCTTTATTTAGGATTTAATTTGCTTCCTGACATTTAACTGAAATTAAAATGCCATCAAGATAAAATAACATCTGGTTATTTTCTAGCATAATTTAATTATTTCCAATAATTTACCCTCATAAATAATATATTTTTTGAGGACTAAAGCTTTTGGAATGCAGAAGTGTTCTTCTCCTGTGGAGTATATATATGATGTGACTACTTGTGTTAATCTGTGCTGGTTTATTCTCCCTTTGATATATACAAAGTTAGACACCCAAACCTCCTCTTTGAAGGAAAAAGTTATTCTTTCATTGCATAGATCTTCTTTTCCAGGCATTTAAGACAAAGTTGGTTTGGACTGAGACAGAGATCTGGAAAAATGTGACCTTACAATGTCACCATTCTCCTGGAAATGACCCTGAACTTCCCTCAAATGGAAAGATTATAGAAAAATTTGTGGCTGAGGAAGATGCACTGACCAGGAAGATAACTTTTCTTATTCCAAATCCTGATCTTCCACCAAGGATAAGACAGTCTTCACTTTGCCTGTAAGTCTGCTGGGGAGCTGGGGAAACTCACAATAACCTGCCTATTTTTTCCCTCAAAGGGCAATAGATTGTCTTTCCTACATTACCCTATGTGTCCTGGGCAAGGAGAACGACACAGATTTTTATCACAGCTGACATGATAGGTAGAAAAAAAGTGGCAGTTCACAGGACCTGCATCATGTTTCTTAACTTCTAAACAGCACTTTTCCTTCCCAAATAAAATATGCTAGTAACAAGAGTTACACTTATAGTAGACAACCATGGCTCGCATCTTCCTGCTCCAGAGGGTACGTTTCTCTTTCACTTCCTACTGAGAAGTGGCGATTTGCCCAGGTAGTTAGAGAGGAAACCTTGGTAATGGTAGTGACCTTTTATTGCTATGTGACAGTGACAGTAAAACAGGACAGTGTTCAACCTGTAGGAAATGAACATGAAACATTACAAATTAACATGAAGAGCAGAATGATACAAAGCCTCTTGGGTCATCTTTAGTCTAAGATAGGGTGACCAGAGGTCCTGCTTCTGATGGGACAGTCCTGCTTTTCAACAATTTGTCCCATGTCCCGCGGCGTTTTTAAAAAGTCCCGATTTTTGGAGAGAATGCACAAACGGGTGGGAGAACAAGAAGGGAATATATGGTTTTCAGCTGCCATGTGGCTATTTCACCAGAATATGAGTTTTATATTATTTTTGTTAATTTTATAATGTTAAACTGTAACAATAACAAGTAATTGCTGAGAAGTGATTATCGAGAACTGCTTATCAAAGTTTGCATTGTTGTCAGGCCCTGCCCTGCCCCCCCCATCCCCCAGCCATGTTGACTCGCCTTACCGATGTTAAAATCTGGTCACCCTAGTCTATGAGCAAAGTGGTAATGATGTACTTATCCAGTGAACAAGAGGGAAAGAATAACCTTTCCTAACGTGGAAGAAATGAAGAAGCTGGGACAGGGAGCAGCAGAGCCTGGAAGATCTAGTCTTGTACGTCTGGCTTTCAAGGCAACTCTCTGGCACTGACATCAGTAGGACTGGCTGGCTTTCGGGACCCATGGCCTATCCGAAGAGGTGGAGTAGCTGATTTGGGGGAATTTAAGGAATTCTAATCTCCTTGGCCAAAGAACTTGATGTCAAGTTAGCCTTACAGCCAGTCCCTTTCTGTGGCCCAGCTCTAGTGACCAGGGGCTTTTCTCTAAACTAGACCCTAACTACTATACGGCAGTTGTGATAACTGTTGGGATGGCCTGCTCAGTACCCATTTCGGCAGACTAGAGAGGTATGGCCTAGGCCATGGTTGCTTCCTGTCACTAGCCACAACCCTGCTCCCATGCCAGCTGCCACTGTACTGCACGTGCTTCTAGAATTTGGCCAGGAAAAGTGGGGTGAAATGTAGATAGAACCTCCTTGCACTGCCATCTGTCAACTGTAAGTGGGCCCTCTGGACTGTCTGGAGGTGTTTCTACCCATCCTGACCTAGAGTGTGCTCAATAATCCTGGATGTATGAAAAGTATTTTAAACTATGAACCAAAAGAACTAGCTCAAATCCTGTAATGAAAAATATAATCTACTTTTTCTGAGATTTAAAATTATACCTTTTCAAAGAGCCTCAAATATGTATATCTACATTATATCATCTTAAGCAGTAGCTATAACTAAAAGTTTCTTGATATCACCTCATAATGGCCACTGTCTTAATAATACACATTTTTTTTTTTTTTGGAGACAGAGCCTTAAGCTATCCCTCTGGGTAGAGTGTTGTGGCATCACAGCTCACAGCAACCTCCAATTCCTGGACTCAAGCGAGTCTCCTGCCTCAGCCTCCCAAGTAGCTGGGACTACAGGCGCCCGCCACAACGCCCGGCCATGTTTTTGGTTGCAGCCATCATTGTTGTTTGGCGGGTCCAGGCTGGGGATTCGAACCCGCCACCTTAGATGTATGTGGCTGGCGCCTTAGCCACTTGAGCCACAGGCGCCGAGCCAATAATACACATTTTAATAAAATGGTTATAGTATTAATGTATACAACTATGATTTAATTAAAAAAAAAGAATCAAAAAAAGAATAAAATGGTTAAAGGAATAAAGTTTTCTATTTTTTTACTGTAGAATTTGCAGACAATGAAAAGATAGGTTTTTAGCAAATAACTGTTTAAATAATAAACAATTTTATCATTCCTTTCTCTCCTGGATGCTGTAACTGTTTTGGAATAGGAATGACTCCATTACTTCTCACTGGTCCTACAACAGTGACACAGTTGATCTCACTGTTTTACCTTTTCATATCAGACTCTCTTTTGCTTTAGCTGGGTTCCAATTGGGCTTCAAAAGTACACTGTGCCTGGCACGGTGGCTCACACCTATAATCCCAGCACTTTGGGAGGCTGAGGTGGGTGGATTGCCTGAGCAAACAAGTTTCAGACCAGCCTGAGTAAGAGCAAGACTCCATCTCTAAAAACAGCTGGGCATTGTGGTGGGGGCCAGTAGTCCCAGCTACTCAGGAGGCTGAGGCAAGAGAATTGCTTGAGCCCAAGAATTTGAGGTTGCTGTGAGCTATGATGCTATGGCACTCTACCAAGCGTGGCAAAGTGAGACTGTCTCAAAAACAACAACAACAAAACACTGAATAAAGTGCTATAATAATATTGAAAACAGAAGAGGAGGGGAGCCTGTAGCATCTATGGTCACAGTGGCCTTGATGGGAAGGCGTGGCCCACAGGTGGGCCAGGATGGGAAGGGCTGCAGGGCCTGTGGACTAACTCTGCCCCTTCCTGCCTCGACACCCTTCTGCCTCACTCAGCCTGCTCCCTTCAGTGACCTTTGCACATTTCAGCTTCCCATGTACCTATTGCCTGGACTCCCCCCTCAGCTGTCTGTTGGGCTCTCCAGCCTCTTGTCTGCCACATATGATATCTTCCTCTTCATCACAACAACAACAAAGTCACATATAAAGATGTTCCAATAAAAAAACAGTACTTGAGGGGCAGTGCCTGTGGCTCAAAAGAGTAGGGTGCCGGCCCCAAATGCCGGAGGTGGAGGGTTCAAACCCAGCCTTGGCCAAAAACTGCAAAAAAAAAAAAAAGAAAATACCTTAAACACCTTTCTGTTAAGTCCTGTATGCTTGGTAAGAATATTCCCACAGCTCTGATTCTGTTCTGGGCCCTCTTTCCAAGGTGAGGCAGGTAATGTGGTAGGCACACTGCATACCAGTTTAATTTACTTCATATCCAGATGCTACTACTTGGGACTACTTCCTAATAGACCCATTGTAGGTCGAAAATATCACAAGTCAAAATTGCATTCAATATATCATGGCTTAGCCTTGCCTACCTTAAACTGCTCATTAACTTAAGTTGGAAAAAATTATCCAAAACTAAGCATATTTTATAACAAAGTATTGAATACCTCACATAATTTATTGAATACTATCCTTGAAGTATGCTTTCCTCATCATCATAAAGTCAAAAAATCGTAAGTTGAACACTGTAAGTTGGGGCCTGCCTATAGTTTATCCCATTTATCTTCATTACTCAATTCTCATCTCCAGGATTTCTTACCTTTTTTTAATAGAAATGTCTGTAAAAGAACTAATCTTTTAAGATCATTCTATAGCTAATTTCTCAAAGATAAGTATTTCATGGATGGTCATATTACAATAGGAGAATGGTTGGCTTTATTCCACCGAACCACGGGGCCAACGAAGAGAGCAGCAGACACCTGTCCGTGGGCATCATCCGTGAAGGAATCCACCCTGCCAGTCCCTAACAGACAGGGAAAAATGATGAGCAAGAACCCGTGCAAAAGTCAGCTTCTGGCTCGGTGCCTGTAGTATAGTGGTTATGGCGCCAGCCACATATACCAAGAGTGGTGGGTTCGAACCCAGCCTGGGCCAGCTAAACAACGACAACCACAACAAAAAATAACTATGCGCTGTGGCGAGCACCTATAGTCCCAGCTACTTGGGAGGCTGAGGCAAGAGAATCCCTTAAGCCCAGGAGTTTGAGGTTGCTGTGAGCTGTGACACCACAGCACTCTACCCAGGAGGGAAAACTGGAAATTGTTTCACTGTTCTCTGCAGTCTGAAGCCTAAGTTAATAACAACAAAACAGTCTCTTACTTTTCAGCCTTCCCAGGAACCAAGAGAAAGAAAATGGAAATTAAAGGCCAGGGTGCACACTATTTGCATAATGACTGACATTGATACCTCCATGTTTCAGATCTTATGGCAGATAAATCATTCTTTGAATTATACTTAGTACTATTCCTAGAATTATTTGCTCAATTCTAGTAGATTCTTTTCTGAAAATTCAGCTTAAATATGGATCCTACTATGTTTAGGCCGTTGAGTTATCTAGGTTAACTCTTTTTTGTTGTTGAGA